CACATGGCTGTCCTTCGTCCAGTGTTCTGTCAATCCTGTTTAGGACGACTCTAGACGACAGACAGTAAGCAGATTGGGCGATAATTGCCGATATCGTGTAGGTCACCGTTCTTGAACAATAACATAGTCTTCCTGGTCTTCCACTGAGTAGGGACCTTGCATTCAAACAAGTAACGTGTGAAGAGCCGAGGCAGTGTGTTTACGAGGACTAGCGGAAGGTTCTCCAGGTGTTCTGGCCTTATCCTGTCCAGACCTAGTGCTGTTTGATTTTACATCGACGAAATGGCATGTCGGATTTCGGAAAGGAGAACCGGTGGTACAATATATCCATCCTCCTTTATTTCATATGACGGGAGGTGGGTGTAGCTATCGAAGAGATCCGAGTAGTATTGGTGAATGGTTTTCTCCATTGCCTTTCTGGACGCTGTAACTGTTTCGTCTGGGCGTCGGAGTGCAAGTATCTTGGTCTTGTAATTGGCGAAGCTTCGGTGGGCTTTGCGAATGCTTTTCCTAGCCTCTGCAGCTTCGACCGTTACTGCTGCTCTTCTCTCTTTAAGATCTTCTTTTATCGCCTATCTGCATTGTTTTGCAAGTTCGGACGTCAGTTCGCGGTTGCATGCTGCTCGTGCGATTCGACGCTGGCGTATCAGGTCGAGTGTTTCTGGAGACAGACGTATCTTGGTGACTTTCGAACTCTCAGCTTTCATCGTGCTAACGTGAAATTATCCAATGAGCCGATCATATTCCTCATCGATGTTATCGACAACGACATTTTCCCAACAGCCGACTAATGAATTGAGTCCCAGTTTGCGGTGGTTCTGGTACTCCGGTTTTGGAATTTAGCGGCTTTTTCTCCTTTTCGCGAGAAATAGAATCTTGCACGAACGAGACGATGGTCTGATCCCGTGTAGAATTTTGGGACAACAGCGACATCGGTCTATTTACTATGATGTGGTCTATTTCGCTATGGTACTGTCCATTGCGAGACTCCCATGTTCAGTGCTGAGGGTGGGGCTTCTCGAATTGCGACTTACCATGGATTGGCTTGGTCGCCATGATAAACTCAGACAGCCGCTCACCCTGTTCGCTCCATTCTAATCCGTGGCTCCCAATGTCACGTTCTTTAGACGTTGTTCTTGGCTCAATCTTGGCGTTGAAATCTCTACCTTGAAGAATGTGTGGCCTTCTCTGTAGAACTTCTCCAAGTCCATATAGAACGCTTCGACTTCTTCTTCGTTACAGTTTGATGTCGGCGCGTAAACGACGAAGATTGTCAAGCCGGAATTGATCCACGTCTTTTTAATCGTAAAATGTCCGATTCGGGTTTAAGTTGTTCGAATGAGCCGATGTTCATGGACAAACTCGTGTTGCCGAGAACGCCGACACCGCCGACTCCTCTACTGTTGCATGTTCCGAGGAACAGTTCTTCTCCGGTGTCATAGACGGCGTTGAAAGGCCGGCGTCTTCTCGTCTCGGCCAGGCCGATGACGTTATACTTTATCTTTCTTGCTTGCATGAGCAGGTCTTCTGTCGAGGAATCGGATGCAAGTGTACGTGAATTGTAGGTACAAATCGTCACCATAGTTCTTTGAAATCCAGGCAGCTTGCACTGGCCCTGAAATCATACCAGCTTCTCCGTACTCCTCCTACCTAGCGCTGCGAAATTAGGGACCCATTGGGAGTCAGGGGAATGAGGCCCGTTTTTTCTGCTGTGTTTGGCATTTTTGATACACACGTATAGTTTGCTGGGCTGTGAACGTGGGACTGGGTGTACTCACGGGTAGCTTGCCAGCGTCTCCCAGAGTAGAGCCATGGAGCTTATTTGTTCGAAGCGACTCCTAACCGCGTCCCATATACTTCCCAGTCACTTGATTGAAGGCTTTTGGCGGAGTTGACTCGCAGAATGCAACCCGCATAAGCAGGAACACACACACACACACACACACACACACACACACACACACACACACACACACACACACACACACACACACACACACACACATAAACACACATAGACGCATGCAAGAATACGCCTAGCAAATACAAAAAGTACGTGCCAAATCAGTGCGGGAGAAACAGGGAGTCCATCCCCTGGATCCACCTGCGTCTCAGGGAAGTAAAGATCGCTTTTGATCCGCGATTAACCCCTATCCGCCAGCTGGGGCGCGCTACATGGCCTCGCGACTAACCGGCTCGAGATCCCTCATATGAGGGAGATCTGTGATGGATATCCTATTAAAAAAAAGAATAAAGCTTTTGGTGTCAATCAATTCTTTAAAGATGCACTATGCATTCGACTTCACTAGGCCTCGTTTGGAGGTGATTGAATGCATATCTAGCCTTTACAATGACTAGCGGTGGCCTATCGATGTATTGAGCTAGTGCTGCTATCCATCCGGATGAATCTGGTCCCAATTTGCAGACTCCAGAGAGATGGAAGGATCGGTGGACCAGGGGAGCGGGAGTCGATCCCATATGTATTGTAGGGCGCCTCCGACTGCTGCGCCACACGCGCCCGTCTCTCCTAGTAGGACCGCTTATTTTTGACGTTCTGTCAATCATCGAGCAAAGATCTTCTACAGAAGCCGCTGCTGATTTATGGTATTTAGGGTTGATTTTAAAACGGTTGAGCAACATTACTTTGCTATGCATTCTAGTCATATTAAGAATTGTTACGGCTTATCTATTTGTAATATGCAGTGATTTCATCCATAGATGGTTTGAAATTGTGCAATATTGGCTTTTAGAGATTCTTGACTTTAAAATTTTCTACTCCCGTAATTCCATGGTTTAACGTAAAGTGTTCTTTCAGTGTACTTTCGGACGACATTAAAATTTACTACAACATGCCCCTTGTGTTTCAAGTTTTCAGCCGATTTTGAGAATAGAATACACACCTGTTCTTATAAAAATGGTTTGCTGTAGTCGTAAATTGCGATTTGGAACTTTCTTGCAGTTTTCTAAATGTCACGATATATCAATTTATGGAATCTAATGACCATAGTCAGAGTTGAGATCCTGAAACGATGAACGGTGATGGAGGTGTTGGTGACGTCGTATCATCCAAATCTACGAATCCATGAAAAAAATTCTGGGGACTCCTTTCGTCCATTTTTTCCACAGAGGCATGGGAATACCTGTTGGCAGAAGTACTGTTCAATAATACGTTCAAGGCCGTTAATACATCCAAACTTCCCATTGTGCCCAAGTCGGGAAATTAGTATCATACTTGTCTGGAGAAAATCCCTCCATATCCATAAAGGCTTGCGACAGCCTGCAGTCATCCCAGGATTCAAGAAAGGGACATCTACTCTGCCAACGTTCAACGACATTCGTAAAGACGACCAAAGTCGTGAAATAGCAATCGATTAAAGACGCCTATCCGAAGATGTTCATGGGCGACATTGTGCCGGGAAGGGAACGCAATGAGGGAGGAGTTGAGATCGGCACAATATGGGACGCACGGTCATTTAATAGGATGTATTAAACAGCCCTCCCAACGGTTTACCTCCTTGGCCAGGCTGACCTCAGGATTCCGGGAAACCACAATGGCTTAACCAGCAAATCTCCGAAAAATGGAGGTCATGTTGGGGCCGCACGATCAGTGAAGATGCGCCATTCAAGTATCAAGTAATTATTAAACAGTAACATACTATACCAATTTAGCAGTGGTCGTCTTTTGTTGACGTAACGAAAAAAAAACTGAAGAGTTCTGAATTACCTTTGTTTTTTTATTCTTCTAGTCAATTAGTTCCAAAGTAAAGTCAACAGTTCTGATATAACTCGAAAGACCGACTTTCTATAAACCTCGGCATAGATAGTTGACATAGTAACATCGCGGCTCTGAGAAAGGTGAAGTCGCCGAAACATCAGCCATCGACCAACAACATCAAAAACAACAACAACGAAGATCTGTACCAACCCCGCGTCAGCTTAAGAAGATCAGTTTATAAGTTCTGATATATTTCAGCAGTGGCTGGAGAGTACTTGAAAGAAGGTGCGATATGCGCCAAAGAGGCAGCCTGTTAGTGATTTTCATCTTAATATTTTCTATTTAAGTACTGTTAGAAAAATTAAGTTTTTCATTTGTTGTTTGTTATAATTTTTCATGGTAGGGCATTACGTGTGAAACAACCACAATGATCCTGAGATATTTTCAAAACTCCGGACCGCAGATGTGTGCGGTGAGGAACGAACGCGCGCGCTATTACCCCTTCCGGGAGCTAACGCGTTCGCCATCACACCATGCGAGTCATTCGTTTCGCCTGTCTTTCAGGTAGTTCTATAGATCAGGGACATCAGCAGTCACCCGTCAACGGGATTGATCTAGGAATCCCAAATAGGCAACGGACCCATTTAAGCCCAGGCTGTAGTCGAAAACACAATGTTAACTTTTTATTTACTGCCTATTCTAATTTTTATTGACAGAGTTGTACGTGTGAAACAACCACAACGAAGCGTTGGTATAAGGTAATAGCGCGCTCGTTTCCCACCGCAGTCACCTGCGGTCAGGAGTTTTGTAAATATCTCAGCATCGTTTTGACTGTTAGGAATCTTAGTACAGCTCGCGAGTAAGGCAAGAGAAAAGGAAAAAATTTATAGATTGAAACAAGTGGTTTAGATGTCGGTACTTACTGCCGGTGTAGTTTAATCTGGCCCTTTCTAATCATTAGTCATCAACTACATGCCCATTGCCATTTCCTCGCCTCATTGTTGTTCATATGGAATGAAAGATTCTCATTTACTTTGTAGAAAATCAATTAATTACGAAAATAAGGAAAAGGGGTATCTTGACATACTTAGTTGTAATTTAACTTTTATGCTTTATGCATAACTCCAGACTGACCCGGTAAATGAGCTATTACCGGGTATATCGCAGTAAGTGGTCTGAAAAAAAGAGTTCGGCGTAATAGCTGAACATTCACCACTTTTACGGTCCATGGGACCACCTATCTAGTCACTAGTATTAAAGATTTTCGTTCAAAATCGTTTCGACAATGAAATTTGTTCTTCTAGACGATGTTGGAAGCTACGCCAAGGAGAAAGCGCCTGAAGTGAAACAGAATATCAGTGAGTTTCAATGAATGCCAAAATTTTGTTCAATCTATCGACTTTCTCTTGTGTTTACAATTCTTTTGCTTTACTTTTAAATTTACATTTTCATGTATTTTTTATTTATGTATCAATGAAGAGGTGACGAAAGTTTCATGACAGTTGTCAAGTGAGTCACTTAGTGGATAGTTTTGAAACGATGCTTTCACAAGTCATTTAGTTTCCATCGCGAAGGCGTTCGTGTTCGTCAAGAACATGGACGTTTGTAATAAAACAGCCATACCTATGAATGGTGTTATAACATTTCTTCTAAAACATCCACCTTCCAACGTGCTTGATTCACAATCATTTACTACTCCATGTGCTCCTAATTCTGAAACCGACGTAATTACTCTTCCAACTTGGCCCAGCTTTCCATCGTCGGGGGCGTATTCGTAAATGAGCATGGATTACTATAATAGATTCTAGATAAGAAGCTATTCTAACCACAATAATGTAGAGAAGTATGCAAAACTCCAGATCGCAGGTGTCTGCGGTGAGGATCGAACTCGCTATTGCCCTTTCAGCGGGGGGATAACATGCAGGTTCTTCCTATCGCCCTTTTCTTATCTGTGCTATAGCTTTAACTAACTAAGAAACTGTTGTTGAATTACTTACGCGCTATTGTTTTTTCTCCGTTTCTTGTTACCATATCTACAAGACAGGCTACCTGACAATTGTTTAACTGTATTTCCTTGTTAACTTAATCCTTAAACACAAGGACCATCAGAGACTGCTGAGAACCACTGCTAATGAAATAAAAATGGTCACACAGCTATCTATACTAATCTAACTATTTTAATCATCTTATAAGACGAGACTTCGTCATCCTAGCGTGCCGTAACTGTTTGAGTCGGTCAGGAGATTCGATGAGTACCACTTTATCCAACGATCACGATGTTTAGCAGGATGCTACTCAACTCCAACTTGTCGGATTTATAGTAAAGGGTTGGTGGTGTAGATGCAAAGCTTATCTGTCAAAACTTAAAACTTAAACAATCTTCCCCCATGTACTTCCTATCCACTTACTTGTAACCTCAAGTGGGATAGAACCAGTACATGAAGGAGCATATTAACTCACGTGGCCATTCTGAAAGTGGATCAATGTGAACAAATCAGCATATGTAGTTTGAGCAACACTATTAACCTCCCACATCTGTTTAGAAAAATTCCCTACAAAGTCCATTTCAGAAAGCGCTGCAAATCAAACAAGAATTACAGTTGGTGAGGTTTTTCCCTAGCATCGATCACTTGTTTGTTGCCCATTTTCTACCCATTCTCATCATAGAATCAGTTCACTTATGAGTTCTTTTACGGTTAATGTGTAGTTTATTGTAGGATCAGGGATGATGAAAATCGGTGCCAAGCTGAGTGATGACACCAAGAGCGGAAGCGACAAAAGGAATGAGGATGAACGAGGAGAAAATGACAAACAAGAAAAAAGTGGACCCAGCAATGACGAGAAGGATAGGTAGCGCAATATGTTCTGGAGGGCTAAAGACTATTGAACTTACCCTCATCACTTATAGCTCATTTATCCAGCATTGTTCCAAGTATGTTTTATTTCACAGTAGATAAGTATCCATATTGATTCCGATGATGTCCATCCATGTATGTCCAGAAACTTGAAATATCTTAAGCAATTAATATTGATATATCAATCGGTTATGATTGAATAAAGCGGTTTCGCAACAATTTTATTGCATCTTAAAAAAATGCAAGCCTTCTTTAACGATTTCATTCAATACCACATAGCGTCTCAAATCACCGTTTGTGGAATGAAATGTTGCCTCGTCGGTTCTTCTTCTCTGAGAATGTGGTTTGATCGCTAGCAGGTGCCAGTTGAGATCACTGTTTCTTTGAAGTCAATAGCACTCTTATAGCACTCTGACTAAGGATGGAAAGGTAACAGGTTTGACATTAACCAATTCAACCTCGTGTAAGCTCATCGAGAAAAGAATACATATTGATTAGTCACACCGAGGATTAAGGAAGGTCGCTTTCGAAATATTACTACGCTTAGTACTAGCTGATAAGAACACCGACTTTTACAGTATGGATTGTCCGGAAGAAAAACAAGTTGTTATATCAAGTTATTACATACATATGTTGTTATTTGTTGATATTACAAGTTATTATCACCGGACATTGATTACATCCACCATCAGCATCCTCCATGAAAAGACATCACTGAGTGAGCATGCCTCATTCGAGGAGATCGCCCGCCGAGGAAGACCTGACTCGACATGAAGGCGAAGCCGCACATCGCAAGGAATAACAAGCGTGGACCATCGGCTCGGATCATCGGCTCTGAGGAAGACGAAGGCGTCGAAAAGTTAGCCGAAAATAAATATCTTTATCAACATCGTGTAAGCTCACAAAAGAAAGAATATGTATTGACCAATCCTTCATGGATGCGTAAGGCGGGCTGCCAACTTCACTGGTAACATCTTGGAGTTAATTGAGTGCATATTTGGTCTATATAACGACTTGAGCGGCCTTATAACTTGTGGGTGTCTGGATCCTCTGAGATAAGTGTGGTGCTAATTTGCTGACCCTGGAGGAATCGGAGGAGAAAGAGGAGCTGGTTAGCTAAGTCTTATGTTGAATTAACAATTTGTGTGTCCTAACTCTTATTTACTGCCTATTCTTTTTGAGTGGCAGCGCACCATATGAAGTTCAACCATCCTAAGATATAAGCTAGACTTGAAACCTCAGATGGGTTTCGAAACCGCGATTATCGCTCTAGCGGCTCACATGCTACTTATCACACCAGCTGGGGCCCTTGCTTTGCTTATCTCTCAGTCGTATTTCTACTCTGTCGGTGCTACCACTAGTAGAGTAGGAAAATGGCTGAAGAAAAGATAATGCAAGAGCCTCGGTCGGTGTGGAGCATAGCACGTGTGCCCGCGGAAAGGGTACACTTTGGTTCGAAGACGAAATAAGAATCCGAGTTTTGCTCATTTTTTCGGCTAGCGTTCGACTCAGTCGTCTTCTTCAGCGTAGGAAAGCTTTGAGTCGACTCTATGCAGCCGTTTAGTCTTTCGAAGTGGGTCTTCGTGGGGGCATCGAGTCGAATAAAATGGAGTGGAGTAACGCTCGAAGGAAGTAGCCTAACCCGGGAGTGCTCAGAGCGGGTGCTTCATTCCACTGGATTCGAGTAGATGTGACTATGATGACCCACACCGCAATGAGGAACGCCTGTGAACAATTGACTCGAATCTGCGGCTCTGAAGAAGTGGTACGCACCCAAAAATTGATCCATTAAAAGTCCTCTTGCAACCTCATGTTAGCTTATCAATAAAAAATTCATTGATTATTCATGCCGAAGTTAAATGAGAGTCAGTTTACAAAAAAATACACTCGCTTACGCAAGATGATTTTGCTTAATCGAATTGTCTGATCTTTTCGATGCGGGCATCAAAAGTCTAGAGTAGCGCAATGTCGTCAAGATAGAGTTTTGAAAATGTTTTAGAGAAGCCCCCTTCAAAATTGCTCCGCTTGTTCGTTTCTGGTAGACCGACGTTCAATTCAAATTCGGAAAAGGATTTCCAAATACAACGGTCGATGGCTAATAGGTCTTCTAGGAGTACTCAATTATGACTTACTCTACCTTATTTAAGAAGGTTTCCAGCAGCTTATTTTGATATTCCATGTAAAAATTTCGCATTTTTTTCACTTGGGAATCGTCCGTCTGATTTACTCTGTTAGTTTAAGCTTCAACCTACAACTGTTCCCGATAGTGATATTCCAATTGTTTGACTATTAGTTTACTCTTAACCCTTTTATTTACTGCCTTTTTTTTTAAATGGCAGGGTATGTTGCGAAATATAACTCGTACGTAATGCTGAGATATTTGCAAAACTCCGGACCGCAGGTGTATGCGGTGGGAAACGAACTCGCGCTGTTGTCCTTACCGAGGAGCAGCTTATTTCACCACCACACCATCCGGGTCTGTTATTATAGATCCGGGTTATTATTTTACTATTTGTGAAGCAGTGAGGCAAACGATTTTGATTGGTGCGATACGCACAACGATCATCACAGTTATCCATTTTTATCAATGGAGGTAACATCAATTAGAATGCTTGAGCAACTCAAGAGTGTTGCAAGTAAGCATGAAACTCTTATTCGAGGCTTCACATAGGTGGATTCATTTTTATTCACTAAATATCTTCACTATTTTAGAAGTAACTGGGGAAAAATGTAAAGAAGGAGCAATTGGTCTTAAGGAGGCTACATGTAAGTTTCCACCTTAGGCAGGATAATCTTTCCTGGCATTCAAACAAACTATTGTCATCGAGTAATGCCTATACCACATCGCTCCGCGATGTCGTTCCTTATACCCTCTCAATTTCTTTCTCTTTCCGTAAACGAATAAAACGTCCAACGTTGATCAATCCGCTAGAGATGTGCCATGTATTGGATTCCATTCGTAGGTAGAATATTAAAGGAAACTGAATGGTATTCAGCCCTTGTTACATGTCGCGGTTTACCGATCTACCAATCCTGTGTTTTTCATCCTGTCGGGTTGGTTAGATACCAATTCTGAAGGATGAAGTTCTTAGTTTGCCTAGTGGCGCCGAATCGAACCAGGGGATACTCATGCATTGCAAGCACCTCTAACTGTTGCGCTACATTCATCCCCTATCACTCTCTCCATGAAAAAGTACCTTAAATGTGGAAGAAAACCGCAGGGCTTGCTCATTTATTATGAACAAAAGCAGCTCTCCGTTTTGCGCTCTTATTTTCAAAGTTGTCTGTGAACATAATCAATTATTTTCTAGTGGATGTATATAATGCCATGAAAGAAGGAAAAAATGCTCGTAAGTCCAAGAGCTCTATATTTTGTGGTTTTTGTTGCATATTCTTTTTTAAGAGTCACGAAAATCCAACTTTTCTGGGCCCGGACTTTTTTTTGTTCACAAGGAGATGACGGTTCACTGAAAATTAGTTCCCTTTTCTCTTGTTTCTTGTCACACTTCGTCCTTCAGAAAAAGACAATGAGCAGAATAACGAAGGAAAGAATGATGACGAGAATAACAATAACAACTAAGCTGAACAGAAGTGTTGACATCATTTGGAGATTCATTGGTGTCGTGCATATAAAACTTTTTGGAGTTCCGGCAACAATGAACAGTCCTGTAATATCAGTTTTTTTTCCTGATGTGGTAACGATAATAAGTTCTAAGAAAGCCAAGAAAAGTATTTAAAACGCTATGCGAACCTACTGTGAAGAACCACTTGGTATATCCGACCAAAGTGAGTATAACTTAGTAAGCAGTATACTAAAATAACCCGCCTTCAGGAAGAACGCACACCGGCATAATTCCCACTTGACGGGTACGGTACTAGTTTAGCAAGAACCCCGTAGCATCTTTATAGATTACCAGTAGTTACGGTAAACCTTGTGGAAGCACGTCCATGAAGTGGTCACCATAGACCGCCAGGCACCTGCTTATGTGGGAATCGAGAAAGGTCTTAAAACATTGCGATTGCGTTTCGTCCAAGACGGTGGTGATAAATGGCATCGGTTTGGTTCTATAAGAATTTTTTAATGAAAGCACTGAGTTGCTACCGAATATCAAGAGCAGAGTCGGAGAAAGCAAATCGATGATGAGTGAATATGAAACATTTATTTGTGATCTTATAAACTGATCTTCTTAAGCCTTTCAGTTCAGTTTATAAGATCACATAAATAAATATATCAACTATCTATTCCGAGGTTTATAGAAAGTCGGTATTTCGAATATGAAACAAATCACTCAAATACGTTGATGAAAGGGTAGCACTTGGCACACACTGGAGGGGGCGTAACGTAGTGGCTAGAGGGGCGAATCTACACATAGTTATTGGTTCAACCAGCGCCCGCGAACTTATCAAGCCCTTCATCTCTCCGGGATCCACAAATTTCTGTCACACTTGTCTGGAAGTATGCAGCACTGAATCGATACATTGGTAGGCCTCTGCAGACTTATTGTATAAATCATATACACGTTCAATCATTTCTACCGATGCTTGGCGAAGTCGAATGTAGAACATATCCTTCACAAAATAATCAATACCGAACGTTTTACCCTTTACCCTTTTGATAGGCACTGTAAAAAAAGGTAGTTGCGCGAAGAAAACATGCAGGTCTTCCCGAGTTAAAGAAGCCATGTGCGACAGCTTACACTTGGGTAATTAAACCGTTTATATACATAAATACAACATTAATAACACAATAATTACGACAGAAAAGTAGTGGCACAAGAATCACCCAAGTTTAAGTTATGAGGGGCTATGGATAGTAGTGAAGTAAGGCTAATAACGAGATAATAGCATTGGAACACTACCACATCATTAATACAATAATAATATTAATAATAACGACATAAAAACAACGAGTGGTTAGCCACGGGCCATGCCGCGCCCGTACTATCCGCGGCCGGTGCGGCGGCTGAGGAAGATCGTATGCTGGGGGCGGAGGGATCCA